TCACAGGAATCCTACAGTTACATAAACGTAACTGACAGAAAAAGGCATGAAAATTACGAATGTTAAAAACCCCTTAATGCTAAATGCATCAACGAATTCCGTACAGACCTGTGGTTTAGAATATATTTTAACTTCACAATACGCAAATTACGCACATCAGGTCAAAGTTCTTTAAAACGTAGTAGGTTATACCCGCTGAAATTTCAACGGCATAGACAAAACGAGAACGTCCTACCTTTACGGGGACTTCTCTTAAAATAAACCTTACTTTAATTATAGAATTGCTTATTTACTAATCTTATACATATATCTTTGTAGCTGGGCTTAAGTAAAAGGTAATTTATATTGTACGTTTAAATGGTTACTTAAATGCCATGAGTACATAAATAGAATGAAGTTACAGGATACGCTCCGACCGTCTTGCCTCTAACACCCTTTGGAATCTAGACAAGGTGGGCCTCAGAGCAGTGGCAAAGAGAATAATCCCTACCCAGAATAAAAATCCGGTTATCCAGCTCATAGTCATTATACTCACTGCGTCCTCCCAAATCGCTTTAATAGTTAAAACAGTGGTAACTATATCTACCACCTGCTTTTACGTTAAGAAAATCTTGATTCTGCCTACAATGTGTCACACAGCAGCAGATTATCTAAGTAACATTAACCAAATGATATTTGTAATGAAGACGCGTTTTCTTTACGGTACGGACTGAATTTTAATGTGTAGTGGACTTCGTGCGTCAAAGATCTCATCAGCAGGCAGCAAATCTGTCGCAGTTAACGTCTACTCTACGAACATCACAATTAATTAAGTCACTTCTTTATAACTCGAACACTAAGTAACTTACTACTGGCGACAATTTGTGTAGGAGTTTCACAACTTGTGAGATGCAAAAGGATTTCTGAACGTACTGCAATATTTAATTATAATAACTACTACTTACATCCCAACAGTTCACAAGTATCCTCAAAAAAGTCTCTACTCTGCATAATCGTTGTAATCATCAATTCTAATTTACTACAAAGAGAAACACATTTCTTGTTTCCACAACTTATGAATGTAAAGTTAAACTGTCCCTGTTATTAGAATGGTTTGTCCCCACGCCAAAATTTGAACCCAAAACCCATCAAATATTAAGTATGAGTGCTAATCACTCGACCACGACATAACGGGCTTCGAACATGGGGATAGAGCGCGGTTAACCTGAGGTTATTCGTGATTTGCCTTAGTCCCTCCATGCACATGCTGAGATAATACATCAAAATAAACCACCGTCGCTTACTTCCACATCATTTGTTACAAATCATCCTACCATTCAACGCTAGACTTACATAAACTAAGCAATCGAATATGCATAATTAAATAAATAAACATATCACATTTTGCAACAAAATAAATTATTCACTATTCTACACATCAGCGGGTTTTTATATTGCATTACAGGTGGAATACTAACTATGGTTTCCACCAATTCTTCCTAGTCAGTTATGGCTCACCACCTTGAAACACGGTTCAATCCACATTCCAACAAACCATATTTCGTATTCCAGGCTGTTGAAACTCTGCAGTTAACACAGAATCGTTAATAAACTAATAGACGAAAACTATCATCAACATGCCAATACACTGAGCCAGTAGGCTACTCTCAGAGTCAGACACTACTGCCGCGAAGTCGTAAGAAAATTACCAGCTGCAGAATAAGTTATTACAGTCAAAAATAATTACACATGGGATGTCACTTGGACAGGATCCATAATGCATGGAAATATTAATGCTAATAAGAGCTGCTTCTGTAACGATTACCGTTGACTCAATTTCGAAGGAATTATTCATGGTAATTTTTAGCTACTTATTACAAAGGAAGAAAAAAGACGGACCCCCAATCCCCTGCAACGTCAAAATGTATCGACTAACACTCGAAGTAGGGCACTGTTTGCTAATACGTCCTTCTCATTAAGTTACCAAAATTATCATTATGGATATATGCTTCATTTACTACAACAGTGGTAAACGCGATCATATGGAAAATTAAAATCACGTTGAAACAATGCAGAAAAACGATACTAAAATTAGCAATCGTTAAAGATCGTCCCAGGAAAAGATGGGATGAACGACAGCTGATGGAACAAGCTTTATAATCCTGTAGGCACATCTACTGCCGTCATGAAAAATCGATCCGCACCAAAGCAGATGGTCGGTCACTGTTTATGTTACTGAACGATGCTGTATCTGCTAATGATTTTGCATAACGTAGGATGACAAATGGGAGCCATATTGTGAAAGGCAAGCAGCGAAAGATGTAGATGTATTAGTGGCACTACCCCGGAAACGGCATAGAGGAAATGAGTAAATAAGGAAACCTCTCCCAATCGAAATTCAAAACCGGTATCTCCCAAATACGCGAAGCATCAAATAGCATTACCGTGTTACTTCAAAATTCTTTGCAAATACGCTTCTACATATGATATTCACAACTACGTTCTATAGTGTCATGCCAGAACATTCACTATACAACTTTACAGATGATTCGTGTCCTTTGTGATGCGAAAATTAAAATACTGTACGTTATTAGACATCAATATACACAAAACTACAATTTTGTCCGCTGTGTCAATTGGGCATGAAACTTGGCCTTTGACTCTGCAAACGAACACAGATTAGAGAACAGGGTTATGAGCAGACCAATTTCATCCAAAGGAAGAAAATTAACATGAACACGCGGTAGGTTTACTATTCTAACACTGAATGTGAGCGATGTTATTAATCAACCAACCTGCTGGAGGGACCGCTCTTTTATACGTCAGTTAACGACTTATCCAAACAAACAGCATCGATAATCTCCAACTCTTCGCTCATTTAGAATCGTTGAAAACACAATTTTTATTTTGAAATCGGACAAAGAAGAACCTTGTCATTCTTTTGATCACGTTTAGATACTTTCCTTTCTAATATAAACACTTTCAACGCCAACTTCCACAACACGGTAGCGTGGCCGAGTGGTCTAAGGCGCTGGTTTTAGGCACCAGTCCGAAAGGACGTGGGTTCGAATCCCACCGCTGCCAACATTTTTTTAAAAATAACTTTAATGAGTACGTATTCAACATATTTAACAACCACTTTTTGTTTTCACAAAACACGCTACGAGTTTCATACAACAACACAGCTTTGTACTAAGGAGGAGCAGCAACAACAAATAGCAACTTCAGCGCCATCTCTTTGTTTACCTTGCAACTACCTGGAACGTAATTACAGCGATACGATTCTTCAACATGGTGATTGGCAATCGATGATGTCGATATCGATGTTGAAAACGACAAATAAAATCACATCAATCGAGGTCATATAACAATCGATTCCGACAACCAGGTGCGGTAACGCGAAATGCATGACGTGCATTCGAAGTTTGAAATAATGTGGCTACATGGGTATTCCCTTCAACAAATTTGTACTTAAATTTATTCATGAAAAAGTTTAGAAGAGCTCTGTATTACTACATAAGACCAGGCAAAATAAATCCCTTTGGGGAAAAAAAATTCTTTTCAAGCCAATAAGCACACTTCCATTTACATTCCATCACTGGAAATAAAAAATTGAAAACATCATACAAGACTGCAAGATGTATGTAGTATTTAAACTACCAGGTCCCTTTGCCATATTTCGCATGACAGATATTTACAAGAACTTTGAAACAATCATTAATTTTAGCAACACAAGATAACTGCATAATAAATAAGAAAAGATGATATTGTACCAGCAGAAATAGCACAATGAATGAAAAATTAATTTCAAAAACAGATAATTCTGTTGCTTCATCTCTTCTTTTTTACAGAACACAGATTTTCATGTTAAATGTTCCCATGAAATTCTTCAAATAAATATAGCAGTGTAGACAGCAAAAAATATCAACGTTCAATTCATCTATTATTTGCAAAATGGAAATGAGATAGTATGTATTAAAAATAAGGGACATGTAGTAACAAAGGATAACATGTAAAGAAAAAATATAAACCATGTTCAATGCATTACCTATTTCAGGAAAGTTTCTAAAAGTGTTTTCAGTGATGAATATTATGTTATCTTGCTAATAATGTTTTGACAAAGAACTGACTTTTATCAAAGTATAGTAATTTAAACATATTCAGATGAAGGCACAGCACAATCATGAACACTTAAAGTTTAGCAGGTTCCCTAAAAAATTGTAACTTCTGTTTAAATCTTATTCTACAAAACAAATTAAAATCACAACATAAAACACATTTTCAATTTTACGTTTATAAATTAGGAACCTAAAAGGTGATTTTAATTTTGAAGGCATTGAAAATTTTACATATTTGGGTTCAGTAGTAATTAATGATAATAAATTGAAGGAAGACATCCATAATAAAATCATGTTAGCAAACTGTGAATATTATGCACATATTAAACATTTTAGATCTAAACTTCTGTCAAGAAAAACAAAAATGAAAATGTATAAAGCACTAATAAGACCTATCTTAAGCTAGGGGTCAGAAACTTGGACAATGACCACTGATAAAATGAATGCCCTTAGAATATTTGAAAGAAAAATAATTAGGAAAATTTATGGCCCCATAACGGAAACAAGAAAACTGGAGAATAAGAAGGAATAAGGAGATAGAGGATATATTAGAAGGTGAAAATATTGAAAAGATACAAAATCTTTAAGACTGAAATGGTAGGGACACATTGTAAGAATGGGGAAGGAACGAATGCCAAAAAATATAATGATAACTAATATGGAAGGAGTAAGGAAGAGAGGCAGGCCACATAAAAGGTGGAATGATGAAATAGAAGGAGATTTGAAAATTATAGGAATTAAAAACTGGCACTCTGTACCTAAGGATCGTCGGGCCTAGAGAGGAATTGTGTAGGGAGCCAAAGTTCACAGTGGACTGTAGAGCTTGAGAAGAAGAAGAAGAAATTAAGAACCTATAAACTCACTGATTTGTAATCATTGTTTACATTAAAACTTTTGTCCTACCTTGCAAGTTGTCCAGCATATAAGTGAGGAGTTTGTGGGTTCCGTTGGGTTCACCGTACAATGTAAGAATCTCCTTGGTAAGTGGATTTCCCTGCAGACCCAATATATGAAGCTGGAATAACTTTCCCAATTCGTATGGGAGAACCCGAAGATGGTTGTTGTTCAAATGGAGTTCCCTATAAACAATATTATATCAGTATAAGAGAATGAAATTCATTCTGTAATATTAATCAGAGATTTGAGGTTTTCATGGCAGTGAAAATGTCAACGGTGTTCTTCTGGGTTCTGCTGTCATATAGTCCTGAGGGCAGTTACGAGGTGCGATCGGAAAGTTTCCAGACTGCGCGTATAAAAACCCGTACACTTATCTCAGGTATTGAATTCATCCTCGAAGTAGTTCCCCTGGGAGTGAACACAATGATCCCAGCGCCGCTGCCAAGCCTGGAAGCATCCCTGGAAATCTTTCTTTGTCAGCCTGTCAAGCACAATCTGCGATTCTGCCTGAATCACTTCTATCGTCTCAAATCTCCTTCCCTTTAGCTGAATTTTCATCTTTGGGAAGAGGAAGAAGTCACACGGAGCTAAATCCGGCGAATAAGGAAGGTGCGGGATGACGGCCATGGTGTTTGAGGCCAAAAACTGCCGAACTTTGAGGGCGGTGTGCGCTGGCGCGTTGTCATGATGCGTCGCATGTGGAGTTCTTCCTTTAGAATCAGCTGACAGGTCCCATAGCCTATCCCAACAATGTCGCACAAGTCGTTGAGGGTACGACGTCGATCTTCGTGAATGCCCTGCCGAATCTTCGTAACATTTTCGAGCGTTGTGCTCGAAGATGGTCGTCCAGAACGCTCGTCATCATCGACAGAGGTTCGGCCATTTTTAAAACGTGAATGCACACAAAGGTTTGTGCACGACCCATTGCGGACTCCCCAAAAGCTTGCTTTAGCATTTCATAGGTTTCCGGGCTTGGCAGCGGCGCTGGGATCGTTGTGTTCACTCCCAGGGGAACTACTTCAAGGGTGATGGATGAATTTAATACCTGAGATAAGTGTACAGGTTTTTATA